GCCAAAAATATTTAAGTATATGAGTCAGAGATGAAATTTGCTCACCTAAAAACACACTGTTTTAAAGTACCTTTAGTGATTTTCTGCCTCCCTGATCTATCCTCTGATGCAAGTAGGATGTTAAAGTCCCCTGCTATTATTATCATCAATTTCTCTCTTTATGTCCATTAATATTTGCTTTATGTATTTAGGTTCTCCAATGTTGGGTGCATAGATATTTGCAATTGCTATATCCTCTTGTTGGGTTGATCCCTTTATCGTTGTGTAATGCCTTTCTTTGTCTCTTGTTATAGTCTTTGTTTTAAAGGCTATTTTGTCTGATATTAGTGTTGCTACCCTGGCTTCTTTTTTCACTTTCAATTGCATGGTAAATATTTTTCCATCCCCTCACTTTCAGTCTATTTGTATCTTTAAGTCTGAGATAAGTCTCTTTTAGGCAGCACTTGATGGATTTTGTTTTTTTAATCCATTCTGCCACCCTCTGTCTTTTGATTGGAGCATTTAGGCCATTTACATTTAAAATAATTATTGATAGGTATGGATTTATTGACATTTTGTTAATTGTTTTCTGATTGTTTTGTTCTCTGTTCCTTTCTCCCTTTGTTCTCTTTCTTTGTGATTGATGAGTTTCTGTAGTGTTATGTTTGGCTTTTTTCCTTTCTTTTTGTGTATCAATTATAGGTTTTGGATTTATGGTTACTGAGAGGTTCACATACAACATTCTTGATGTATAAAAGCCTATATTAAGTATGCCAGTCCTAGTCAACAGTACAGTTAAGCCGTGAGTAATTTCACTTAGGTGGATGTACAAACACTTTTTGTCTCTGAAGGAAGACCCATCAATTGACATTTCAGTTTTCCCAGGATGCTCCAGAGAGGAATAGGAGCAAATTCCATGGTTTGTATCTATACCTGTGGGCCTGGAACAACCCTGAGCTTTGAGAGCCGCATAGTGAGATGCTGGAAATGGCTCATTACCTTTTCAATTCCTTGTGGCCCATGATTTTCCCATAAATTAAATATGAAAGTTGATTAATTTGAGGCTGGGGTGGGGGGAGGTAGAACAAAGGGGATTACTTATTAATTTAAAACATTAAATAAGTTTTCAAGGGAGGAAGCCAAACTAGGTAGAATTTACATGTTGATTGTGTATATATAAACCAACAATTCTATAGAATTTACAGCCTGACTGCTTTTCTGCAAGAAGCCTTACTTCTCACCTCTGAGAGTAATTAAACTGTTTCTGTATGAAAACAAAATTTCCTTCTCCTGCTAATGTTTTCAAACTTTTTGCTGAATTTAGACTACCCCTTCCCCTGGGACTGGTCAGAATAGGATGTTCTTTGGTTTCCATCAGAGAATCTGGCTGTGCCCATCGGAGAATCTGGCTGTGCCCTTTTTGAGTGTACAGATAGTTTGCTCAAAAATAACACGATGGTAATAAAAATAAATAGCTAAGCTTAACCAGGCACTTACCATGCGAGCTCAGTGCTTTATTTACATTATCTAATTTAATCCTCTCAACAACAGAGTGAGGTAAGTATAATTATCTCCAGTTATTTTTTAAAATATTTTATTTATTTGTTTTTAAAGAGATACAGAGAGCACGAGCGGGGGGAGGGGCAGAGGGAGAGGGAGAGAGAGAATCTCAAGCAGACTCTGCACTGAGTGCAGAACCCGACATGGGGCTCGATCTCATGACCCTGAGATCATGACCCTGAGATCATGCCCTGAGCTGAAACCAAGAGTTGGATGCTTAACCGTTGAGCCAGCCAGGCACCCCATAATTATCTCCAGTTTTTAAGTAGACAGGGACAGTCTGAGGCTTGGTTTGATTAAGGACCTTTCCAAGGCTGCAGAGGGTTGGAAAGATAAGTGGTTAACTTAACTTCAGTGGTGGAGCTAGTTAGTTAAGTGGGTTGCCTTCTGACTCCATGACCCTTGCTTTCTGTCTCCATGTAACTTCTTTTACTTCTAGAAGACATCTTGAAAACTCCCCAAGACAACTTACAAACAACCTCTTGATTGAGAATCATGGGTGAACAACACGGGGCTCCTCTGGCAAAGGGAAGTGACCTTTCGGGTCACCTCCTGAGTTCTTCCCAGCCTGAGGATTTTGTAATCTGGAGTCTATTCCTTGGAGCCTGGTCCAAGGAAAATGCTGAGAGCCATGGGGAAAAAGGGGCTGTGTTTGGGCCTGTGGGCCTGGCTGGGGGCTGGGAGGCAGCGTCCACATGCCTGTAGGGATACAATGGGAACACTCAGTGAGCTTGTGGCCCTGGGGACCTGCTTAGCCCAGAGGTCAGATTATATCCCCTGAAACAAAGCGTTGGGTTTAGCCTCCTACTCATGCATTTAGTTCACCCCTCAGTAGCTTTGGCTGGGACTCTGCACGCCTGGGAGGAGAGGGCTTTTGTCCAGCCATTCTCTGCAGCCTGAGTGACCGTAGCACCCAGCCCCAGCAGGCAGCATTGGGCCAGAGGCACTGCTTCCAGTGTTGGACTTGGCGGGGGGCAGCGGGGTAGAGTCTTCATGGAGAGGGAAGCTGGCCTTGGCCATGGGAGCCAAGGGGCCTGGGAGTGAGTCAGTGAGGCAGCCCAGCCCCGAGGACTGGTTTCCCCACAGGTGATTATTGGCCAGGGAGGCGAAAGGAGCCAGCCAGTCCCCATTAAAATGCTGCCGCTGGTGAGAAATCATCTAGGAACTATCCCCTGCAGGGCTGACAGAATCTGAAGGGGGAAACTCCCAAGTTTCCAGCAGCGTTTCCCACCCAAGCCTCTGGAGGTTACTAGGGGAGCTCTGGCCTGGGAGGGGGCCGGCTTGCCAGGTGTCTGTGACACAGCTGAGAGCAGTCATCGCCAGGGCCACTCGCACCCAGCCATCTCCCATGCCAGGCGCTGGACTCACACTGTCTGTTTTCCTCGCCAGGGCCCTCCAGGTTGGGCGCTGTTCTCCCCATTTCATAGTTGGGGCTCAAAGAGCTAAGTAACGTGCCTGATTTGTAACTGGCTGGATCCAGATTCAAACCCAGGTCTGTCTGGGTTTCTTCCATTCCGTTATTAGGCTTTCTCAGAAGGTAGCGCCGACTCAACCCAAGACACTGATCGTGGGTGGGCACCTGCGGCAGCAACGGTGGGCATCGGGTTTATCGATGTCTCCACGGGGTGAAGTGGGCCTGGAATATGGTGCTGCAGTAAAGGCGTTGACTGTAGTTTCTTTACCCAGGACAGTGGAGGTAAAGGCCTCATTTATACCCAGTCACCATACTGGTAGGAACACGATGCCCTCCACTTTGTTCTTATCCTGACTTCTGTGGGTAGGTCTGTAGTAAAACAACTAGTCTGGGGGAAGACTACAGCTTTTAGTACCCACGCAAGAGCAGAAGCCATTCTGGAGCTTTTCCGCCTTTCCGATCATTTCTGGATTTCACCCAGGCCATCAGATCTCTGTTGCCTGTATACCCCTATGTACTTCACCGGTCAGTTTGCATGCTGTTACTGTCCATCCTTGATTCCAATATGTCCTTGATCCCAAGAGGCACTTTTTCCCCCACATGTTAATATCTTTGCAGTTGGCACCCATCCCGTCCTTGAGGTCCACGTTTAATGTGGCGGGGCTGTTTAAATTGATGCTACATTTTTAGAATTGATGGGGACCAAGAATTGAGGAAATATGATAATTAAGCACTTATTCAACTCATCAGATGCCTACAGTAAATGCCAGGCATTCTGCTGGATGCTTAGAAGATAGAAAATAACCAGGATGCAGTCCCTTGCCTTAGGAAGGTCACAGTCTTGATGGGGAGATAAGGACTCTGAATTTAGAGAGCCAGGGTGTATGGAGGGGAGGCTGGGACTGCTTTGCAGAGAAAGTGTATCATGAAATGGGTGGGAATACAAAGGGATTAGAGGAGGGTTGGGGATGATTTGGGGAATGGTATCCCAGACCACTGAATAGTAGGAGCAAACAAATGTTCAGAATCATGAAATCCTAGGATGTGTTTGCAGGCTTCAAAGGGTTCACTGTGGTTCCACTGGAGGGTGTATGTGGAGACATGGGTGTAAAATGAGGCTTCGGGGATAGGCAGGGGGCAGATCGCCGGGGACCTTGAGCTCCACATTAATGAGCTTAATCTCTATCCTGAATCCAGTGGCAAATCATGGAGTGGTTTTCAGCACTGATTTGTGTTTAGGAACTCCATGTTGGGAAATGGATGGGAAAGAGAGTGGTGGGATGGGGTGGAGTGAGAGGAAGTGAACAGAGTGATAGCTGTTGGAAGAGAAAGAAGAGTTACCCCAAATGAAGCAAAAGCCTCATTTGTATTTACTGTTCCCAGATAGGGTGGACCGAATTATGGAGGCTTGAGGATGATCACACAGAGGAGCAGCAGGGCATCTAGAACTAGAAGCTGTAGGGTCAAGGGACTTTGTTCTTACCTTAACACTGTCATCTAGTGGGCAACCGCTAGTATGTGCCCTGGTCTCAGGAGAGCCACCCGATCAATAGGCAGGCTGATTATATGACCAGATGCTGGGAGAAGCTAGAAAAAGAAGAGCCCACTACTGGTCGCCGCTTGTTAAGGAAGGGTCATTACAGCTGGCCATGGTGACATTCCAACATGTACTTGCCAAATTAGTTCACCAATCAGAATTTTTTACAGTTGTTGGGAGAGTATGCCAGCGTTTGGGAGCGGGGAGAATGAAGAGGATATCACTTAATACCTTATATGTCGGTGGGATTTGAGATGTTCAGCATTACACGTCATAAGGAGGACGTAGGTAGGTTGCTGTGTTTGTGCCTGGGAGTCGCACAGAAGACGCATGATCCATGCTGTCAACTGACTGACCCACCTGCAGGAGACCGTGGGGACAGGTGCTGGGGGAGAGGTGGAAGGAGCTCCTCCACCACGGTGGCAACGTTTTGCAAGGGGTGGGAGCTGACTGTTGATACGGTGCCCCACGACTTACGGTTCTCTTCCCCTCCCCCGCTTCCCTGAACAGGTTCAGTGCCATACTTACACAGGGTACTGCTGGTGTGTCACCCCAGATGGGAAGCCCATCAGTGGCTCTTCCGTGCAGAATAAAACTCCTGTATGTTCAGGTACCGTGGGGAGGGGCGGGAAGAAAGAAGAGAGCTGGAGAGAGACCCCTAGCTGGTCTCTTGCCTCTTGTGGGGGAACCTTGGAGAAATGGTTGAAAGATGGGGGGTGGTTAGGAGCCCTCTTCCAGGTCGAGAGGATTCCACGCTGACACACTTACTCTGTAGGTAGCTGGGCGATCGGGCCAGTATATGCCTGTGTGTATATATTCCTTTATTTTGAGTTAGGTTTCTGGTTCAACGCTCTCTTCCCAAGCCTCAGCTGTAATCCCCAGAGAACGGCATGTAAGTTTTTAGCCGGGGTGCTCTGGTTGCCAGTGGCCTTGGGAGCACATCATTGAGATGGATCTTAAAACCGCTCTTAAAACTGAATGGGTTTTAAGGCTGGATGATCAACTAGTGATGTCTGTCATGGCTACACGAGGAGAGAGTGGTGGCCTGCGTGCCATGTATTTGCTCCTCCTCCCCTGAACAATGTAATGTAGACGAATGGAAAACGTTCATCACGGTGGCCCTCAAATCTGGCTGTTAGCAGCAGAGCCTGGGGAAATAAAAAGAGCCCAGTTGTCGAGGCTCTGCCTTGTTTAGTTTGATCCAGTAGGTATGGAGGGAGACCTGGAGGCCACCTGTTTGTGAAGCTTCTCAGGTGTTTTGTTTTGTTTCTTAAAAGATTTTATTTATTTTTCAACAGAGAGAGAGAGACAGCGAGAGAGGGAACACAAGCAGGGGGAGCGGGAGAGGGAGAAGCAGGCTTCCCGCTGAGCAGGGAGCCCGAAGTGGGACTCGATCCCAGGACCCTGGGATCATGACCTGAGCTAAAGGCAGACGCTTAACCACTCAGCCGCCCAGGCGCCCTCTCAGGTGGTTTTGATGACCACATGAGGGAGGGAATCATTGCTTCATAGTGACCCACTACACTAGTCCATAGAGAAATTAAATCCTTGCCAACTCTATGAGCATAGAGAATTTTTGCTCTTAGGTCAACCTCACGGGATCATGGATTTTGGATTTACACAAACCCCACACTTTCTAACATCCATTCAGATGGTAGGGGACTTGAGAGTCACTCCCTTAATTCACCGTGTGGCTTAGCCCTCATTCAAAAAAGCCCATCCAGCCACCAGCTGCTTCATATTTCTTCGTATCTGTGTGTATGAAGTTTTATTTATTTACTTATCTTGAATATTTAAGTCCAAGCAAAGTATAAAGCATTATTCTAAAGCCTATGAGAAATTCCAAGGGCTAGCAGTCCTGCTATCCTAACATTTTTATTTTTTCACAAGATTTATTCATTTTTCTACTGGCCTTGCTATATAGAGGGAATGGTAAGAAAGGGCAGTAAGTATCTACATTAGGAAACCAAGATTTGCAGGCCAAAATGGAAAGTTTACTTTATTTGTGGTTTACATGGAAACTGGAAACCTTAATTGGGGTTGGTGTGGAGAGGGGCAGGAATGAGCCCTCCTTGCAAATGACCTGGAAAGTTTCATTTAAAGCAAACAAATGCACTAGAAACAAGCCATGCAGGGTAATATAATTGAATTCTCACAAAACTAATATATGGAGAAGGAGTATGCTATGGAATGAGAAAATAGGGATTCTTTTTTTTTTTTTCTCTTGGTGGCGGGACCTCCACAGATGTCCTTACGTGCGTGTGCTGGCTCTGCCCTGCATGTGTGGGCTTCATGGAGAAGACAGGTGCCATGGGGTCGGGACCGCAGGATGGGTGCACATGGCATCCTAACATGCACAGGGCAAAGTGTTTGGCCAAACACACACACTACCCCCTCCTTGAAGAACAGGCTGCATCTAGAAAATTGTTTCCATGCCTCAGACTATTTTGGCCCATTCAGTACAATTGGACCAACAATTTTCTACTTAATGCAGATGGAAAATCACCGATTTCCTGCCCTAACCAGCAAGGGATGTCAGTCATCGTATTTGCAGTAAGAGGGGCTTCTTTTCAGTTGGCCCTACTGAGTGGACATGGCTCAGAACATGGAGGTGGTAGGAAGTGGGGGAGATGGGCAGTGGAGGTGAGGGGAAGTTTCTGGAATGTTCACCAAGGGAGTTCTGTGGAGGTGAAGTTTTGTAAAAATCTGGTCAGGATTATTGCCTGGAAATCATAGTTCATCTCACTGGGACTGTGATATCAGTGACATTGATGTTAAGCAAATGCCATAGGACGTGTCTGTGTGTACTTTGTATATAATGTCCCCAGACGTGTATACAATGTATGTATATACATAACCACATGCTCACAGCATCAGGCTTTGCCAGCTCTTTGAAAGAAACCAACCACGATACATTCTGAATGTCTGTGTTTTTGTTTCCCTTTTACCCAAGGTTCAGTCACCGACAAGCCCTTGAGCCAGGGTAACTCAGGAAGGAAAGGTGAGTAGAGTTTTATGCTCTATCCAAATGTTTGCTTCTAAAGCCAGTCCAAGAAGAGTTCTAGACCAGATGGAAGGCGCCTGGGTGTAAGCTAAAAGTCCCCCACAGAAAATCTCCATTCTTATCCCGGGTTTCCTCCTAGAAGCAGCGGAAGAGGTAAGTAAGGCTCATACGGTGGTGGGGACCGCGTGCCCAGAATTTCTGAGGGAGGTGAGTGAGCGCAGGATACAGAGCTGGCAGGGACCCTGAGAACCTTGGCTCCTGGGCAGTTCAGTCAGTCAACTACCAGGTAGCCAGCATGCAACCAAAAAGGACGATGAAGGTAGGCATGTCCAGGTCTGCCCCGACCCTCTTGTTTTGGAAACCAGTTTGAACATCTGTTCCCCACTTGCTGATTCTCCTTAATAATTGTTCCAGCCCGTCCAGATTTTCTTCACGAAGACGAGCCCAGCTTCCCAGGCTTGCGACCTGTGCTGCTATTGTCTTGGGATTCTTAATCATTCTGTCTTTAAACTTGTGTTTTGCTAAGTCAAGCCCCGTGGGACAGTGAGGCGCGCATGTGTGCGTCCTTGTTCCCCTGTTGGCATATCGCTTTTGTGATGTGTGCTGTGGGGGCTTCCACAGGACGCGAAAGATTTTAATCCTTCTTCACCTAGAACAACATTAAATAGAAAATTTTAAAACACCATGACAAGTCAAGAGAGAGACTATGGAAGAGAGGATAAAACTTTATAGTTTGGTGCTCTCAATGGCACTGTTTTCCTGCTTTTTGAACAAAGGGCCTTGCGTTTTCATTCTGCACTGAGCCCTACAAATTATGCGGCTAACCTCAATTAAGGCACTTGTCTGAGTGCTGTTTAGTGGGGCAGCCAACATGAGGAATAAGTCCCTGGGATATGCTGACCATAATTTCCAGGGTGGAGGACACTAAGCTCCACTGCCACTTACCTCCAGGACAGCAGAGAGAGAGAGAGAGAGAGAGTGCGAGCGCACGCTCTGGTAGCTGCATGGGGGACCAATACCAATTTCACTGAGTGTACAAACACTCCAGAACCCCTTGTTCAGGCTCTTGGGTAAAAACCCAGCCAGGAGATGGTAGCTGAGTTTGAGGCTTCACACCCGAATCTGGGCCTTGGGGGAACTGCACGTTCTTAAATGTCCACATGGCGCGTCGGGCCTATATAGCATCAGCGTGAGGCACATGGGCTTGTCCTGCACCCGTGGTCACAGGGAGACGGAGGTGAGGTCCAGGACCCTGCCCTGCATGCTTGTCCCATGGGAATGGGAAGAGGAGGCGAAACCACCCTGCCCGAATGCAGGAAATGAGACTCTGGAGAAGCTGCCGGCCTGAATGCAGGTGTTCCAAGAGGACGAGGAAGTGGAGCATCGGGATCCCACTAGAAAACATGGATTAATGGGCCTTCCCACAAGCAGGAATGCATACGTGGGCAAAAAGGAGGGAGCAACTGCCTTTCTGGGTCCTTCCCGGAACAGGGAGAGGCTGCCCTGCATGCTGGCCGTTCCCTTCTAGGTGGGAAAGTGGGAGAGGGGCGTGAATGGTTCTTCCTGCAAAGACCTGACCTCCTCAACACTGTGAATGTCACGTGTGTCTGTCTGCAATTTATTGGAGTTTCAAAGGGGAGCTGCCTTCGATTTGACTTGTTGTAACTGAAGACTTCAGGAACATCGCCTTTATTCTGGGTCATGAGATCGCAGTGGTAGAAAAAACAATTGGCAGTCCTGCAAAACAGACAACCCAGATTTCCCCCACCAAAGGGAACTGAGGGCATGAAGCTGAATGGAGCGCCCACACCGAGAAAGGCGAACCATGGGATCTGGGATCTTAAACTGTACAGAGAAGTACTTTCCAGGTTGATGTGGCTTTGCACCCTGTGGACAACAAAAGAAACAGACCCTGTGGCCATTGTGGGTTCTTGCTGATCCAGCTGGGAGAGGACAGGGACACCTGATTCCTCCAGGGACAGTGCAAGAAATAGGGGCGTAGAGTCCGAAGCCTCATCTTAGAGATAAGTTGCTTGGTTTCCAGCAATTTGCTTCCCTACGCCACATGGGCTCCTCCCTCCCAGATGGTTCTGCAGAGGCCTCCTCTTTGGTGCAGAGGCCTGGTGGGGGATGCTAGGGCTCACTCGCCTCTGGAGACTTGACTTTTGCCCAGAGCGTCTCCTTCCTTCTACTTTGGAGGATCAGCTTAGGCGCTAATCCTCTTCTCTTTGTCTGCCGTGGGCAGTGCAGAGAAAAGCAGGCTCAGGCCACCTGTAGGAAGGGCCACCTGAAGCCACACCTGTCCAGGAAGCCGGGGTTTGAAGGGGGACAGGGTGCGAGAGGGCATTTGTAATATCCTGTGTCGGCCACCGAGGTCCCTCTCTCAGCTGCCACTTAAGAATGGAATGTGCTCCGGAGGGCAGCAGGTGGGAAGGCACAAAGGCCCCTTGTCTGAGCTGGTGCCCACACGTGGGGTCTCCTAGACGGCATCTCCCTAGGGCTGGAGTTCACAGCCCTGAGGCTTCTGCAGAGATGCACGCCCGGACCCTCGCGCAGGGTGAGCGGTACAGCCAGAAAGGACGCCCCAGGTCTGGGTGTGAGAGTGGTGCGGGCGGCAGGGGACAGCGGGGGAGGAGCGGGCCCAGGCCCTTCTCTCCCCACCCTCTTGCCTTTGGGAGCCTGCTCCACTGACAGGGCTCAGAGGGATCGGTTCTCTCTGCCTGGAAGGAATGAAAAGGTGTATTGTGCGGAGACGGAGGGTCTGGTTGCCAGCCAGGAATTAGTCCTGCGGAGGAGAGGAGAAGGCCCAGCAGAGGAGGCTGGGGGAGGAGGCTCAGAGAGATAGCAGGAGGAAGGGAGGAGGGAGAGAGGCCAGGCAGTAGCGGGTCACAGGCGGCTGGCCCAGACAGGAGGCCTGGCTTGTGGCTCCTGGGTTCACAGGTGTGGGGCCTGAGGGGAGAAGTGGGGGAAGGAGGGAGGGAGGCGCTGTTATCTTACCCAGATGCACGTGCTCTGGGGGGGGAGGAGGGTCAGAACTTCAGACTATTTACTTAATCCCTTGGAATGTCCTTTCCTCGCTCTGTTCTTTGGGCCTCTTGTGTTTAACGGACTCCTTTATGGGCACATGTGTGGTAATTAACACGTGCAGCGTAGGTCCCAGGCCATGTGTTTGAGTTTCAAATATCCATTGATCTGGGGCACTCCCATCCTGGCTCCCCTCCCCTTCTTCTCCTTTGGTCCTTGCCCTTGAAGAGAGATACGGGGGCGGGGGGTGTATGTGGGCGGTGGGGGGGCACACGTGCCTCTCCGTGTGTTTTATTGATGCTTCAGAGGATGATCAGAAGAGAGGAAGAGGGCCACCAGCAGCCCCTTGAGCTCTGACGATGTGCTGCTAAAAACAGTCGAAGGCTGCAGAAGCTGAGGTAGAGATGAATTTTTGGTTTCAACTGAAGCAGGTTGAAGGACAGCTGGGACGTGGCTGGGAAGCAAAATGTGTTTAGAGATCATGAATTTACCCTGAGTGGATTTTCCTGGCCAACCAAGGCTTGCAGATTTTCCTGTGGTGCCTCTTTTTGGGGTCTTGATGCTAAGGAACGTGGATGATTTGAGGAGCTTCCGAGCTAGCCAAACGCAAAGTCAGGGACTTGTTCTGAGCATGATTGCTTGTGAGGTGCAGGAGGGGAGTTCTCAGCCTTCAGGGGACGATAAGAACAGTGAAATGGGAGGATAAGGGGAGAGCACTTGTAAAATTTTTTCCTGGCCATTCTCTGGGAGCTTTCTTCTTCTGAGCACCCAGGACCCTGGAGATCCCCTGCTGATGCTTCAGTAAACGGCAAGTGAAAGTTGAGGACCATTAGGGGTTTTCTGCAGTTTGCATATTTCCTACTTGTTAGAAGTCTGGGATTTAGCTGTTTGAGGAAAGTGAGAGAAAAATAGAAACATTAGCAGACTCTGCTTGCATTTTTTGCACAGACTTCTGTATTTGTCAAGCCAGTGTTGGAGAGGGGCAGAGCTCCCCAAACCCAGCCCACCTTTAATCTGTGGAGACTTTTTAACCCCCCATGAGCTGCTCCATACCCTGTGCTCTTAAGTAAAGAGTGAGTCACAGTTATTTGTCCAGGGTCCCTTTCTGTGTCTCCATTTTTAGAATCTCTCTTGGAGTCTGGTCTACAGGTTGGGGCCAGCTTGAACTACCTGTCACTCAGGTGATGGATTAAGCAGCATGCTCATTCAGGGCTGAGGGATGTGCTTCGGGCAGGGGTGATGGGTGGCAGGCATCCCAGACGACGGGGACGGTGCGCTTCCAGCCTCAGCCCTCCTGTGGTCAGCACACCTGAATGAGGTTCACCTCACTGCCCTGAGCTGTGCATCGCTGGCTGTCTCAGGACATTCTACATGTGGAGCATCCCTCCTGCTCAAATGACTCTACCCTCTTCCCAGCTACCCTTCTTTCCTCTCCCCCAGCACTGGGGCGGGGGGGCGGGGTCAGTAGTTGACCTGTCAGCATGGTCGTCAGGTGGCAACAGTCTGATTCGCTACCGTCTGGGGTTGGATGTGAATGGAGACGGGCAGCCGATGGCCTCTACGGGTTGGCCTCTGCTCGCACTGGATTTCCCCGGGGAGAAGCCGTCATTCTGCTACAGCACCTGCTGAAACAGAAGCGGGCCGAGCAGCTCCAGACCCACGGGAGGCAGTCTTCTGCTCTCTGCATGTGTGTGGCTTCGGCTTGCCAGTGCCCGAGCCACCCCGACCAAGCCCGACACGTCAGGCGACCAGCTTTGCAGCGTTTGGTGGCAGAGGGGAGTGCACAAATGTGCTGGAGCATGCATGTGCGTGCTCTGTCTCCTTCCTTCCCCGCCCCAGCTCGCCTCCACGTACTCAAGCCCTGCCCTCTGCCCCAGTCCCTATTCTGGGATCTCTGAAAGGAACGTAAGCGTGGAGGATACTAAATGAAGAGTTTGAATCCCTGCCATATCCCCATTTCCAAGGACTAGAGA